CCTCATCTGTGCTATTCGAGGCGTAATTCGTCTATCTCCTGCACCTAGGTGATTGACTAGAGGCTAAAGCCTCAGAGTAAGTCTCATGGTCATGCCTTTGCTAAATGGACCACGTCTCTTGTAAAACCTACTGTCAGCCAACAAGCCTAATCGCCGCCTTGTCTATCCTGTCTCTATCCCTAATACCAAGTCTATGACTTCTCCTACCCTAGTCTCTTGTGTGCCAACCCACAAATGTTGTGGTACTTCTGGCTTTGATTAGGTCCAATGTTAAACCACAACATTTGTCGGTTGGCACACAAGAGACTAGGGCAAAGCAAGTCATAGACTGGGTATCATAGATAGAAATAGGATAGAAACAGTGGAAGCTGGAGCTAGTTGGCTAATAGTTGTCTTTCCTGTTTTTATCTGTAATACCATGTCCATCGCTTCCTACGTCCTAGTCTCTTGTGTGCCAACCTACGGATGTCGTGGTTTTACTTGTTTTGATCAGGTCACCGAAGACGTCTCCTATTTGCTTCTGATTGTTGCTTTCTCATCCCTCTGCGATCTCTTTTCCTACAATTAAGGATATAACCTTGATCCAGTCGTATTCTTTTTGCTGATCCTGCTGTTACATGGTCTTCTCCGAGTTTGTTTAGGCAATATGCAAAGTTTTCGCTAATCCTGCCTTCTTCAAGTCTCCTGTTAATTAGATTTCTCTCGGACAGTATATTAATGGTTATTTCTGATCTATGTGTATCCATATTCCTGCAGAGTCTTTGATGTTCCTGAATTCGTAAGCCGATTTTTTTGCTGTTTCACCGATATACTTCTGCTCACAGTTGCCGCATTTAATGCGATAAACTATCGAACACTCAAATTTATCTGTCTTCTTGTGTTGCCTTGTTAGACCTTGTCAGTGTGTCGAACTCCTCGTCCCATAACCATTTGTCCGTTAGTCGTGATAACGACTCCTTCTGTATCCGTTTTGCCTCCAGGATATCCTCTTTTCGCTGCAATATCTCCATTAAGGCGCTTCTCGCCTTCTCACCTGAGATGTTTGTGTACATGGATTGTACGTTGAAATTCAACAAAAGTTCTGACCCCACCAACCAAATGTTCTGGATCCTTTGAGAAAATTCATATGAATTCTTAGCGGTATTCGAGAGTCTGTCAATTACTTTATTGACCTTCAAGAAAATGGATTTTCCTAGTTTATGCATTGTTCCATGCTTGTTGTTAACTATTAGTGTTAGAGGATTTGCTTCCTTGTGTATCTTCGGTAGTCCGTAGACTGCGGTGGTCATGCGTCATTTTTTATTAAAGATTTCATCATCATCAATTTTTCATTAGTATGCATTTCCTTGGGCATATTCTTCAGTTTTCCGTTAATCTTCGTAGTTGGATCCTTCCTTAGTATTTGATAAGTGTTTGGGTCGGCAAGGATACTTTCCATTT